GCAGATTATGACTATTTTTTCTGTTTTATTGTGTTAAAAAGTGTTAAAAAGTGTTAAAAAAGCGCAAAAAAAAAGAATTATTTTGCCGCGAATAGGTATAATCAAATAATACAATTAAAAGTGTGTTATAAATCTTTGATTAATTAATAATTATTTAAAACAATATTAAAGTTTGTTTAAAAAATTTGGTTGTCAATTTTTATTTTTCAATCATTTTTTCCATTATAGAAAGTGAGTCGATCAACCTCTTTTTAGACAAGTTTGAAGATTTTCCCCCCGGCTTTTTTGTAGCCAATCTAGTTTTATCAACAGTAAGCAGTTTGTTCTGAATTTCTTCTTCTTCATTGTATCTGTGCACAAATTGTTGCATCATTCCTACTGCTCTTCAGCCGGATTATTTACAACAACTAGAGATTTAGCAAAAGCTTTGAAGATTGTGTATACCAATACTGAGGCGGGAGGGTAAGCCAATCTCTAATTCTTTGTTTATCCAACCCAATTCTATCAAACATCAAGTAGGAGAACTGATCAACTAATAATGATAAACTTGGGGGATCATTGTAACCTCTCGTTTCAACCTTAATCTTGTTTTCCACGTCGATGAGCGATTTGTTTTCGATTTTAAAATAATCAGATTTCGGCATGTCATATTGAAGCATAACTGAAGCAATCTTACTTTTTTCTTCATTAGAAACGTCTTTATCCAACAAAGAAAGAGGTACAATTGTAGAATCTAGATACCAGGAATGTTTGTAAAATGATTTCAATACTGCTTCAATTGCGTCTGGTTTTGCACAAACATCTTTGTATAAATGCATTTTGTGTATTGATAAAATATCTAGATATGGTGCTTTGATAGCTTTGTCAGATTGCAAATACCATTTTGCATAAAAGCATGCTATGAATTCCGCCATGATATTAATTTCTTCTAAAAGTAGTTTATGTTCTTGAACAAATTTAATTTGATTACAAAGCAATTGCAATTTTAGATAATAAATGGCATTGCCAAGGAACCTTGCATGGTGGACAGCTCCTGGTTTTCTAATTTTTACACCACCATGAGAAAAATAAGCAACAACTAGCTCAGCTAGTTCTTTTCTATCGTCTCTTAGAGTGTTTTCATTTTAAATATATTCTTTGCAAAAATAAAGAGACTCAACTGCAGCACATTCGATGATAGTTCCTTTTGTCTTATCCCAAAAAAATTGTGTAACATCATTTGTATCATAATGAAAATCAGGAGTTTCAAATATGTCTTTCAGTTTTTTAAATAAAAGATTATCTGGTCCAGATGTCTTTCTTTGTGTCACAACATTACAAAAGTGAACAATCTTCAGCTTTGATATGTGGTGTCTGCAAGCAAGAAATAATGGAAAGATATCTAGATTGTTTGCTATTCTAAAAAGGGAACCCTTTTTAGTTCCAGTATTACTGGAAGTTGTATCAAAGCAAAGCCCTCCAATATTTCCTTCGGTTTCATATTCTTTAAGGAGATTCATTATGCCTTTATACTGATCATCCCCTGAGGAAAGAAGATAGAGAAGGTACTCCGAGAAGATAAACCTCTCCATCAATGTTTAAAAGAACAGCCAATCTGTCATTTTTGAATCGCTTGCCTTTTTTTAACTCAAATAAGGTTTTACCATCAAAATGAATGATAGGCGGATATTTGGAGGCTTTTAAAGCAACTTTAATGTCATTTCTGGCTTGTTTACTTATTATTAGGTTTAATTTTCATTTGTGATGAAGCAGTTGAAATGCTGCAGCGTAATTTACCTACATTCACGCCAGCCTTATGAACAACAGAAGTGACAACTTTATGGAGAACTGCAGGAGATATATCATTGATTGATGCTGCAAGAGCAACAGTACCACTGTAAATATCTTTAGGAATTATGCACGTAATCGGTTTTTCTTTTTTCTTTTCTCCTTGTCCAGTTTCCAGGTTCAAAGTCTAAATCATTCAACATTTCTGTATCATTTTCATCAAAACTTGGTTTTGATGAAAATAATACAGAAAATGATACAGATACAGTGCTGTGTTTTCTTTTGAATGTTTTCTTTCGAATACTCTCTCTAGACAACTACCTTAAAGCTGACTGGGACTCTTTCCGTGATTTACTTCGTGATGGCCCCTGGGTAGAAATCTTTCGTCTCCCTGTTGACAAATGTGCTTCTTACATAACTTCGTGGATTCAGGCTGGCATGGAATCCTTTATTCCCTCTCGACGATTCCAGGTCAAGCCTCACTCTTCTCCATGGTTTTCCTCACATTGTGCTGCTGCAATTGCCAATCGAAACCATTACTTCCATATCTATCAGCATAACAATTCTCCAGAAAATAGACGTCTGTTTATTACTGCTAGGAACCATTGTAAAAAGGTTTTGTCTAATGCCAAAGCCCGCTATTTTCAGATCATGAAATCTCGTATTTCATCACAAAAATTAGGCTTTCGTGACTTGTGGAGAATCTTTAATAGTATCAATAATAAGGGCAAGTCTGTAATTCCACCTCTTTTGTATGGTTCAGACTTTGTCACCTCATCTAAAGACAAAGCTGAATTGTTTGCCAAGAACTTTTCATCATTATCATCTCTTGATGCCACTAATTGCATTCTACCTGATATAGCCGTCAAACAGGTTGATCCATTGCTCGACATTCGTATCACTCCAGCTTCTGTATCTAAAGTGATTTCCTGCTTAGACTCTTCTACAGCTTGAATCTTCTGAGCTTGAAAAGGATCTCACTTCTGCTACAGCATGGGGCTCACAGTGGCTGGTGAACTTTAATTCAGATAAAACTCAATTTTTTTCAGCCAATCGTTATTGCAATAGTTTAGACCTTCCTATATTTATGAACGGTAATGTACTCGATGAGTCTCCTACCCTTCATCTTCTAGGATTAATTCTTACTTCTGATCTTTCTTGGAAACCTTATAACAAATCCTGTGCAAAATTAGCATTTGCTAAATTTGCTTCTCTTTATCGAGGTCGTCACTTTCTTACTTTGGATTCTATTCTCTATCTCTATAAATCTCAAATCCGGCCTTATATGGAATACTGTTGCCATATCTGGGGCGGATCTTCTAATGATGCCCTTTCTCTTTTAGACAAGGTGCAAAAACGCATTGTAAACATAGTTGGACCTACTCTTGCTGCCTTCAACTTCTGTCACATCGTCGTA